TAAATTACCCCTATCAGATTGTGAAACCCAATTTAAGAAACTATTTCTAAATATTTTAGGAAACTATTTTCAAAATTCTTTTAGTACTTAAGAAATTAAAATCAATTATTTCAATTCGTATTTTTTATCATAATTCTTTGCTTCTCTTTATCCGATCAATCTCAAGCTTATGTGTACGACTCAATAAGCTTCTAGATATATTAACAATGTATCAAGAAGTAAAAGATAATTCTTTTATATCTCGATATATAAATCGGGATTGGCTTTTAGCAATACTTCATGACTACCCAATTATCAAGAAAAATTATTTAATCCTCAACAATATTTCACGAGTATGATTTTTATACAATTCAATCTACATGTCAATTTATCAATGTGATTTTGAACTTGGTTTGGTGTTTGTTTGATTATGATCACAAAAGTTATCTTAACTTTCTAGTAAACCAATCATGTTCTATTGTTATACTTCCACTCGTGATCATAGATTCTTGAGCGAGACATTCATTGAAGGACAATGTGATAACTCATTTAGTATATAAGGAATGACATGTCTTATCTCGCTTATCCACCTATCTTCCTTAGATTCTTGACGTACCCAACGAATCACCCACATGCAACTCTTTACTAATCCTATCGTAATAAATGTTAAAGTACATAAATCCTCTAATAAAATAATCATGATAACTTCAAATCAAATGATCGCTTACACACATCTCATATGAAATTCTCATAGACTATACCAAATGAGTTCTCATGGCGAGTCACGTTTAATGGTATGTTCTCTAACATTATTCACCTTTGTGCTTACTTAGGCATCACCATGCTAGTAGATGTGAGATCTCTTACTACTATCCTATAGTAAGAGCTTGGTACACATAATTTTCACTGCATATTGTCAATGTTCAATTTTGACAATGATATAACTTGGAATATTTAATGATTTTATTTAAGTGCATTGATATTTGTCTCATATTTTTTGATCAATCATCAAAACAATGAATATCATATAGACTCTTATCTAATTCACTCGAGTTATAAATAACATGAATTAATAGAAAGCCTTCTTTATTAACAAATATGCAATAACATAATATTCAAACCATCCAAAAAGGTTGGATCTTGGGCACCTATACTAACATATTTCAACCAACCAACGAAATAAAAAGACTCATCCATTTAAGAAGAATTGAAGCAAGCAAAAAAAAAAAGAGAGAGAGAGAGAGAGAGAAAGTAACTAATTTACATCGTAAAGACGGGGAGAGAGAGTAACTAATTTATCCACCAAGTTTCACTAACATCTCCCTTTCTTTAAGATTAGAATCTAGTCTAACTTTCAATGCCATTCATCTTCCACCTAAAACTATACATTCTAATCAATGATTTGATAACTTTACATTCAATTTTTTTCCTTGGAACATATTTTAGTCATTTTTATTGTTAAAAAAAATATAAATTACAATTGATTAGTGATTGAAATAGTCATGTCATAAAATAAAATAAAATAGACACAAAATAGCAATATTGATGGTGGTAATGTGAAAAGATGATGGTAATAGTAATTACAATGGTTTGGCTAGGATAATTTACATCTAGATTATTGGAATTATGCAAAATAAAATCTATACCATCAATTTAGGTTATTAGATCTTTAAATATTAATTTTTAGACAAATTTTATCCTTTTATATTTTGTTTGGTTGTGAAAATGTTAATCGATAGCTAATTAAAAGGACATCATTTTAGTTTATTTTTTAAAATTAAAATCAATTTAGAAAAAAATATTTAATAATAGTTAGATTTGAATGAAACTTAGATGGTTTTGTTGTTTGTTGATTTAACTTTTATTGTTGGATAATTAATGATGTATGATGGATTTATTTAGTAAAAAATAAAAAAATAATAATACATCATTTTTCAAAATTAATTTTAATTCTAAAGAAAAAATGAAATGCTTAAAATGATGTCGTTTTAAGTATTTCATTTAACATTTAATACTTTAACATAAACATAACAAAATCAATCAAATTTACTTAAAATTAAAAAATTTAAATTGAAATAATTCAAATTTATAATATAAATCCTATTTTATCAAAACTTCAATAGTTCGAGAACAAATAATGATGTCAAATATAATTGCAATAGTGCCATGATTATCACAATAGCAATGATGATCAACAAAGTTCGAGTAGAAATGATTAAGGGTGTTCACTATTCGATGAAAATCAAATAACCGAACCGAATCGCATCGAAATATCAATTTTGGTGCGTTTTTTTTAGAAAAAAAAACAAACCGAAGTAATTTTGGTTTTCGAGTTCGGGTTCGGTTTTTTTTTTTTTAAATTCGATTAACCAAAAAATCAAAAATTTTAATACACACACACACACTCTTTAAGTCGGATCACTCACTACACACTTAAATTGAAAAACCCTTCTTCGCTAGATACACTTCCTCCCACAATTTTGTATGTGCTCTCTTTTTCTTTGCTACAAGTATAGATGTATACAAAATAATAAAGATGTTGGTAGATTTTCTATCGTATTTGATTCAAGTCTTCTTTAGTAGATAATTTATTATTTATTTATTTACAAATGCATTTTTTATTTTTTTGGACGCAACTTAGTTTCTTAACTAGTAGTCCACAAAGCAGAAAAACCCCTCTAAATAGAAAATTTCAAAAACTTTAATAGAATCATCCATTTATAGAAAAAATAAATCAAATAAAAACTGAATTATTGAATATCAAAACCAAAATATTTCGAAATCGAATAATATTTCAATTTAGTTTTGGTTATTATTTTTTTAAAATTACTTAAGAAAAAATCATTTAAAATATTTCGAAATTGAATTGAGTAACCGAACTAATTCCCCTAAAAATGATTGCAGTAGCAAAGCGGTGTTCTCATAACGACAAATGATGGTGATGGTAATACAATGGAGTGGTGCGCGACAATGGCAATGAAAACAATGACTGGATACGGTATGATGGCGGCTGTAAGGCAATAACAAAATAACCAAATAACTATTGGTATTATTTTTAACATGGTTAGTTTTCTTATTTAAGAAAAATACCTCAATTTATAAATTCTAATAAATTGCTTGATACAACCCAGCATCAGGTTTTTTCTTTTTATCATTTGTATTAAGTTTGTTCGACTTTTTTTTCCTTGCCAGGGTTGATAGGTGCTAGTGATTAGACACAGAGCAAGATGTTTATCAATTTAGTTCTTTTTCAAATAATAAAAGAAGCTTTCATTCTTGAAATGTCTGTAATCTTAACCCTTGATTGGAACAAAAAGATAGAATTAATTTTTATGAGAAAACTACTTTAAGAATACGAGGAAACAAGGTTGATAATCCGTTCATGCACTACAATTAATTAATTAATTATATTTTTATACTAAGTTAAATGTTAATTGAGTGACTATACTAATTAATTTAATTAATGCAAGCAGTGATTTTGCTGACAACATCAAGAAGTATTGCATATTCACTCTGCTAGTTATTATTTTCTTATCATTTTTATTAAATAAACCATTTATTTAAATTATAAAACTATGCAATTTCAATTTTTATATTTTTATTTGTGCATCTTTTTATTCTATTTTTAGAATTTTATATAGTAAAAAATAGAAAGAAAAAAATAACTAACAAGCTAAGACAAATCAAAGAATATGTGTTGTTTGATTATGCAATTTACTTAATATGGTCAATGAAATCATTTACAAATGGCTCGCATTAAACAAAAATTGATTCAATATAGTAATTCAATTAACATTTAAATTGATACTAATTAATTGTTTATGATATATGAATGATACGGATCGTCAATCTAAGAAAAACTCTAATATTTTAGAAACATTTACTTAAATCATATCAATTTTAATGATCGTTAATATACGGCTTAATTTAAATAAATATTGCATCGTGAATCATGTGAGTTTTTTTATATAAAAACTATACCTGTAAAACCAAGGAAAAAAAAATTCAATTACATGGAATGATTTAAGTTTATTTGAGTTTTTAATACAGTATAACTACATATTATATAAAATGATGTGGCTATTTGTAAGTCTTGGTTGTATTTTTTTTACTAATTTGAAAAATATTACTTTTAGAAAAAATTATATAAAAAATTTTCATTGGCTAAAAAGGCTATAAGGTGGGTCCACAACCATGTTTGACCCTTTAAACTTTTTTTAGTCCCTAAAATATCCTCATCCCTTTGATAAAACCACAATCACCTACAATCCTTAACTCAACCCAAGAGTTAATAATTAACCAAGGTGAAGTTAATAATGACCACTATAAATAGAGGACCCCTTGAGGTCATATTCCTCAAAACCCTACTCTATGATAAGCTTGTTTTCAATTAGAGCTTTTAAAACCCCAGCCAAATCCAAAGAGTACTATAAAAAATAGAAAACAAGGGAAAGACTAAAAGAGGGAGAGAGAGGGAAAGAAAAGGCCAAAAGGCCTAAAAACCAAAGGGGTCAAGGCAGTAATCACCTCACCAGTGTTGGTCATTGAAACCCCACAACCCCAACACAACTTCCACACAAACAAAACCTACAAAATCCTGGTATGTAAATCTTTCTTCCTATTTCTTGTTTTTTTTTTTTTTTTTCCTTAACCCCTAAAACATTACTCTTTGAGATTTTGAAAACTAGGGTCTCTGTCTGTTCAAAACTTATTTTCTAGCCCTCCATTTACACTAACTCTTTCTCTCTAAAACACAAAACCCATTTAAGCTATTTGAGAGAGAGAGAGAGAGCGGGACCTTACAAATTTTACAGGCGTTTCAAAACCCTAGATCAGCCCCCAATTTCCCGCCAAAAACCTATCTCCTAAACATGACCTATTTGCATTCTAAATCTAAATCTGTGCATTTAATAGCGTACCCTTTTCTCTTAATAACTACCACTAAATACTAATATTTTTTTTGTTTCTGTTTCTGATGATAACAAAGATGACAACTGACCCATTTTTAGGTTTTTGAAACAATGGCAGGTTGGTCAATGATAGCTAATGGTTCTGCAAAAAAATCACAACGAAAGATAGCTCCGGACGGGTTTTGGGTGGATCTTGAGCCGAATTCAAAAGTGTCCGTTTTAAAAAGCCAACTCGATTACGAGCTCAGGAGTTGTTTTGATGAGTTTTTGGAGTCATTTTTCAAAGAGATTTGTGGGTTAGATAGTTGTTTAGAGATTCTACCTCCAATGCTTGGAAATGGGCAGTTTTTAGATTTGCTTAAACTGTTTTTGGTTGTGAGAGATAAAGGTGGATATGATGGTGTTACTAAAAATGGGCTGTGGGATTTGGTTGCTCAAGAGTCTGGGTTTGGATTGAAACTTGGTCCGGCTGTGAAATTGGTTTATATTAAGTACTTAGACGCCTTGGAGAGGTGGTTAGAGAGGCTAATTGTTGACAGTATAGAATCGAACTCAGAGTTGAGTGATAGTGGGTTTAATGTGGGTGGGGTTTCGACGGAACTAGGGGCCAAGTTAAAAGGGTTGTTATCCGAAATGCCAGCAAAGGAGTTTTTGGAATTGAATTCTGAGTTGAATGTGAATGCTGAGGTGGAGTCTTATGGGAGTGAGAAGTTTGTTGAGGATGAAGAATCCTTGCTTATAGACTTGACTAAGAGTGGTGTTGATTTTGTGGAAGTTGGGGAATCAGGTGATAATGTGGTAAAGAGGGTCATGATGGATGATTCGCTTTCTAACAGGGATGTAAAATGCAAGGATATTGATGAAAATTTGATAGCTGATTCAAGGAAAAGTGAGAAAGTGGAAAATGAGGATGAGGTGAAGAGCGTGGTGGTGGTAGAAATTGATGGAGATGAGGAAGGAGATAAGGGCAATAATGGTGAGGTTGAGGAACTGGATTTAGAAACTTTTGAGGAATCTGTTTCCAGTCGTAAGAGGAAACGAGAGTCCCTTTATAGAATGCTGAACTGGGTTACAGGAATTGCAAGGGATCCATGTGATCCCATTGTTGGATCATTACCTGAGTGGTCGAAGTTGAAATCTTATGGGAATGGGGAATGCTGGAAGCAGGTTTTGGTGACTCGGGAAGCATTGTTTCTGAAAAGAAATGTTGATTCAACTTCAAGTCCTGAAGGCTCTGTTTGGCAGGTATCTATCACTGACTGATGTTTCCTGCTGTTATTGATAAAGGTGATTGAGAGCATACTGTCGTTCATAGATGGTGCAATGTATCTACTCTATTTAATTAGTGGTTAAAAAGCCTTTTCAGGTGACAATCTGTATGCGTAAATTTGGATTATGGATTATGATTTCTTGTATGTAGATATGATCGACACATGCATACATTATTTATTGAAATCTTCTTCTGTTACTTTTGCTCATTCCTTCACAACGCACAGAGAGTGTAACTTATCAATTTTATGACTTCTGATTGTAGTTATTGAATATTTTGGCCCTTGAGTTGCTGTTATATCCAACTGCCACTATGTGTGGAATGAATTTATAATTGCTTTCAACTAGGGCCAAACACTTTTACCGGTGATGAAATGCTCTCATCATATGCTATTTGTACCCATTTGACGAGGGAACTCCTAATTTACATAGTATTTGGGCCCTTCCAGCTTTTGAATTTGTCACCTGATAGGCTCTGCTAAAAAATAAGGTCACTGGTTGTTCATGATGTTTCTATGTTAAAATTGATTTTAGGTCACACATGTAGCCACTGATTGTGATGTCCGTATGAAGTTTAATGCCTTAATTTGCTATTTATCTCATGCTTATGTTTGTCTCTGTAAATGTTATTATTTAGGTCAGTTTATGTTAATACCATAGCAATCCAAATATCTCTAATTTATAACATATTGTAAGTCATGATATATTACCACTATGTAGAAAAATCAGAAGATGCATCCATGTATGTATGACGATCATGCTGGATCTAGTTACAATCTCAGAGAGAGGTTAAAATGTAGAAAGAAGCCGCTTCCCGGGGAAACATCTTCTCAAGCGCTTGTTTGTTCACAGTCATCTTCTGCAGCCACGCAAACTGATTCAGACCCTTGCATGGAAGGGGTTTATGATGGTGATTCTTCTACTGAACATTCAGTGCTTGACCTTCCAATTACCAAAAGAATTCCTGTGGGGCCATTTTTTCAGGCTGAAGTACCAGAATGGACTGGTGTGGTTTCTGAAAGTGACTCAAAGTGGCTTGGAACTCGGGTTTGGCCACTTGTAACTTCAACTAACAGATTTGTTATTGAAAGGGAACCTATCGGTAAGGGAAGGTCAGATTCATGTGGGTGCCAAGTGCCAAAATCTATAGAATGTGTTAGATTTCACATTACTGAGCGAAGGTTGAGACTGATGCGTGAATTGGGGAAGGCTTTTAATCAATGGAGTTTTGATAAGATGGGTGAAGAAGTTAAACGCTCCTGGACGGTAGAAGAACAAAAGAAGTTTGGAGCTACAGTGAGGTCAAATCCTCTATCTCTCAATAAGTATTTTTGGGATGAGATATTCAGATGTTTCCCGGGTAGGAGAAGGGAAGATCTGGTGAGCTACTACTACAATGTATTTCTTTTGCAGCGCAGAGCAAACCAAAACAGGTCTACTCCAGATAACATCAATAGTGATGATGATGAATCAGAATGTGAATTTGTAACCTATGGCTCTGGGTGCGAAGCAGTCAATTCACCAGGCTCCCTCTTATCAGCAAAGAAGCAGCATAAATATGTCAAATAGTGTCTGATCCGGTTGATGCCTAACTGAGATATAGTCTGGCAGTTTTCTCGTTTTTTTGCTATTTGGCAAATTTTGCATGGCTACTACAGAATTTTCAGTGCTTTTGAAAAGCAGAAGTTTAGCAATTCAAGTTTGTGCTTTAGTGGGTAACTAGAGGAGAGAATTGATGACAGCTATTGTTGTGGAAGCAGCAAACTGTAAGGGCTCAACCAGCCAAATTGATTTTGAAGTGCTTGTGGTTCATTTCTTATGGTTTTTGAGATATACTTCCTGTTCATCCATATATTGCAACATCAATTTCAGGTACCTTCACTTTGCAAACACTTTTTCCTTTTAAGCTGTTTGATGGCAAGGGTGGCTTCAATAGGAACATTAGGAATACTGTGAAATCTCAAATTGGTAGGTTAGATGGAGATGAATAGAAGAAAAGTGTATACTGTGATTCAATTTTAGTCTCTCGTCTATTTTTGGTACGTGCACTTGATATAATAGATTTTAAACATGTATGGAAACTAGTCTTGCTTCAGGCATTTGCATTTCAATATCTCTGTTTTGTGCATCTAGTGATTGCCTATTCTTGTAGACTTGCATGGTGACAACAAAAAGTTAGATGCATACAGAAAAGCACACTACTTTTTTGTAATAATGAAAATGAGAAAACAACTGTAAGAATGATTGATTCAAATGCACACTACTTTTTTTAGTAATGAAAATGAGAAAACTGTAAGAATGATTGATTCAAATGTGATGGTTGGATTTGCATGTTTTTAACCGATTATGAATTTGAAAGCTAACTTTCAAGACCAGTTGAGCTACATGAGTCTGGGAGGCTGGGTAAGGAACAGTTTCATTGGTTGATCAGTCCGGAAACAAAGACACAATCTCGTCTTAATGAGGACAAGATATAAGGAAAGCAATGGAGGAAATTAAGGATTTCTAGATAGACCAGTGGCACCTGAGTAAAGGTAAATAAAATGAACAAATTTTTGTACTTGAGTCACATGTTCCATTCTAGTCTTTCCAGGTGTGTAAGTGACCAATTTGGAGATACACTTTAAAGACGATGTTACACAGTTTTATTTTTCCTCTCAAATGGATTTGACAGTGTAATGGAACAAAATGTCTGGTTTGAATATTTAGGGTGGATTTCAAGTTTGCTTGAAACAAACCAACAAATTATTAGTTTATATGTTGTAAAAGCTTTACCAAAATGGAATGCATGGTGAGTGAAGATGATGTCTTAGATATTTGGAGAGTGAAAATGTTGTCTCAGATTATTTGGGGTTAAGCGTTTACTTGGTTCGCATGTGAAACAGTAGGGATCTTTAGTTCGGGAAAGGTGTGCTGCAAGTTGTTTCTGGTGTGGTGCGTGTTGTTTCTGTTGAATGTATTTCCGTCTTCCCTAAGTTCATATGGAGCTAAACGGCTTTGTGCTAGTGTTATACTTCTTTTGTTAGGATTGACAAAATCACGTGGAGGCAAACTTATAATTAAAGATCCAATAAACCTACTGCTGGAACACAACTTTTAGTTGGAAAAGTAAAAAAGATAAATAACGGAAGTGATTTAGGTGATTTGGTAAAACGCCTTAGTCTATGCCTATTAATAAAACAAAACTTCAATCAAAAGAGGTAGCGTAGCTAGTACAAGAAGCATGAAGTATGGCTTTGAAGGATTACCTAAAATTGAATACTTGGATCTTTTGGAATTTGGTAGGCTAAGCAATATTAGGTTCCTGTGGTTTCAAGTATGACCTTGAAGGATTGTTCCCGAGTTATTGGGTTGATGGGGGATGTGGGCAGCAGCCCTAATTGGGAATTTGGGTGATGGATTAGGTCATTATAATAATTTCAGATCTGCTGGAAAATCTGAAATTATAATATTTCTGTTTAAGTATTTTATTGATTCTAAAGTTAGTTTTCCTATTCTAAAATTGGAATAGTTATGGGTTTACCTAGTCTCAATAGAAATAGTTATGTTGGAGGTTTAAGAATCCTTATCTTTATTGGATTTGTACTTCTACAACTCTATAAATTCAGCATGTATTCTTTCAATATTCAATATGCAATAATATCAAACAATTTTCAGCAATTTGCTTCTGATTATGTGACTCCTAAGAACCCTAGGTGTGAAGCTTAGGATTTTTCTATCCTCTAGGTGTGACTACTAGAATCCTACCCACATATTTCCTCATATTCTAGCAAAAAACCCACTTCAATACAACCCTAAACACACCTAAACAACTCCCCAAATCAGGTACAGAACAGCCCCTAAGTTGCCCCGCATCATGGGTGACATTTGAATTGCATGCTTAGATTTAGCTTGTGGCAAATTCATTGTGGTTTTCATGTACATATCTCAATTAATATTATGCATATAGAGATAATAGGATTCATAGATTCTTAATGATGTCCTCATTGAATTTTTTTGAGTTGGATTTGCTTAGAGTTTGCTTTTTATAGCAGCCAGCTTTCATACTTTAATCATACTTCCAAGAGGGCTTGCTAAGGGACTTATTGTTTATAAGTAGTCATTCTTAAGTGGCAATGACTTAGCTTATTTAGGTAGCACCATCAGTTGTTATCAATGGAGAAGAAAAAAAAAATTAGTTTGCTATTTGTGTGTTACGTGTGCCTTGATATGGATATTGAAGTGGTAAGGAAAATGCAGAACTTACGAGCAACTTAATTCTGGCTCCTTGATGCAGCCACCGATTATGTCCTGTCGTATTATATCTATCGTCTTTCTATTGTGGTTTTTATCTTCTTTATAGAATTTGAAGAGAAAATACCTTATCAGTCTGCATGGATCTGTGCGAAAAAAAAATAAAAAAAAAACTCAGCCTCAGCCCTAATGTTTGTCTTATTCTCTGCTTATTGTAAGCTGATAAATGTTGCCTGCAGTTTATAAGTTGAGTGCCACTTTTCAAGGTTCTTCTGTGGCAACTGAGAAGCAGCCTTATGGTACTCGTTGTCACACATGTCATGCTATTAGGATGATACGTGCAAAATATAAAATCACGTAGATTTGAAAGTAATAAAAAAGGGAAAAATAAAAACTTATCAAGGAAGAAAAAATTATTTTAAAAACTTAGTTAATACTGCTGACACATGGTAGGATGATACAATGACAAGCATGGATAAGAAGAGAGGAAGGTTCCTGGAATCCCTGGACAAGGAAATTATTGTTTCTCTACAAGGATTACTGTCTTATGTCTACAAAATTAAAAGGTTCTTGCAAGGATGACATCACTTTACTGTACACTAATTACAGTAAGGACGCCATAAGTAAGAAATGAAGTATGGTAAAACGATTATGGGGATTGTTATATTTATGGTAAGATTACTTCTGTTGACAATTCAGTTGCAGAAAAAAAATTATTATTATTGTTATTAATAACATCCGTAGCTTTTTGTCATGTACCGTGAATATATGTATTTCGTAGGCTTCCTTCCCATCGGTATCGCCTGCTGTTTTCTCCCATAAAAAAAAATATATGAAACGTAATGATAATGCAATACATCATATGTGAGATGATTTTACTGGACACTTTTTTCAATATCAGCACCGTTTTGGGTCAAACAAATCTGCTGTATACTTTGCTTCAGTAGCTGGCTTCCTCTTTATATTTTCAAAAGCAGCCCCATTTATTTATAATGAATGAATGCATGCACCAATTTTTTTCATATACGGTTTCTTTGGCCCATCTGCCCCTAAATGTAGTATGAAATCAAAATTAGTACGAGCTTGGTAACAGCCCACCTCTCTCTCTCTCACATCTTGGGATTGACACATTTAACAATCACCGACTCAGATTTATTGGGGTGAGTTGTGCAGTTTTTAGTAGTATGTGGGTGACTTGTAACACCATTGAAAGGTGAATAGAGAGTTAGGTACAAGAATAAGAAGGGTTAGGACTTAGGATGTGCCATGACATATACCAGAACATACATATATGCCTCCCTTATTCCAAAGCCTGGTAAAGCAAACCTTTTTCTACTAGTGGTTGAAAATGCTTTCATCGTTTGGACGATAAGAAGAAAAAAGAGAGTTGGATCTGCATCACTCTGTGATCTACAAATTGAAAGATCCCGTTATCTTCATGTAGAAACAAAAGAAGAAAAAGGGCCTATGAACACAGCTGAAAAATGTGCTTCATCCACTCATCTAGCTGATAATTACCTTTTGTATACCCCACGCGTTTTGGAGGAGAACGTATTTATACTATTGATAAATGTAATATCGGCCGCCCATTAATTGAGAAAAGACCTCATTGATGATTGAATTTTTGCTAGTTGGCAAGTTAAAAAGGTTCGTTCTGGTAATATTTCAACATTGGACGGTATGAGAAAAGATTCGAAGGTCTAGCGAACTTTAGAGGGTTAGGGAAGTACATCTAGATACCGCAGCATTGTTTTTCTAATGGTATTCAAATGTCAATGGGTTTTATAAATGCCAAATAACCTATCTTACCTTAAATAAATAAATAAATAATACATGAACAATATATAAAATTAAAAGATAATCATTTATTATAAAGCTTAAAGTGTTTTAGATAAAATTTAAATTTAATTATTTAATTCAAAATATTATATTAAAATCTAATTATTCAGTAAAACACTCAAATTATAAGTGAGAAGAAATATTAGAAAAATTAGACTACAAATAAATAAAAATGAGCTTTTATTTATCTATGGAACTCATTCCTAAACTATTTAACTTAATAATGAGTTTTTAGAACAAGATGGGATCTTCTTTGATGGACTGCACCACGAATAAGAGTATTTGGATTGGACAGCAGTAGATATAGATACAGGAGTTTCTATATATAGAGCAGACTTTTACAACACAGATGCATTACTCTGTCTGGAAAGCATTGATATTTGATTGAAAATAATGTATCATTCCACACAACTCAAGCAGATAGTGACTGGACAAAAAATGTATACCATTTTCTTTTTATTTGACGATAAAAATATCTTCAAACAGTAGAGTATATGTATTTATAATTGGTCTCGTATTGTAATTTTATATCTAACTCTTGAAAAAGAAAAAAGAAAATAAAAAATTATTCGGTCAATCATTCTCTCTGACTGCATAGCCCGTTGGTGCTGTGGTATTATTTATAGCTCTCGGTAAAAAGAAAAAAGAAAAGATTGGAGAGTGGTATGTTAATCTTTCTTGAGACTTGAAATAAGTTATAGAGGAGGCAGCATTTAAGTTTTGTCTATTTATATAAAATTGAATGATTATTACACTTATAAATTATTAATTATAATAATCAATTACAATAATCGATACACAAATCTAATTAGATTTCTTTACTATCATTTAAAAGAGACTCGAGAAACTCACCAAAATATGAATAAAGTATACTAATTTTCTGACAAAAATATATTATATTCATGACATCCACATATTTAAAAAAAAAAAATATCACCATGCTTGTATTAATATCAAAATTCAGCTATCTTTGTAGATGATAAATAATAACTTGCCAAAAAAGAAATAGTAAAAGTAAAAAATGAGAAAAGTTCAAATCGAAACAAAAGTAAAAGAGCATAACCGCAAGCAGCTGTTTTTTTTTCAAAAAAAATTAAAAAATTAAAAAAAATTATTATCAATTACTGCTGGTGTATTTAAAGTACACATTCATGTCCAAACCATTGAAGTTGCTTCTTTCAGTTGTACAAGCAAAACCTTAACCATAATCTTCTTCTTTCCTTCCATTCATTCTCTCTCTCTTGGAAAATAAAAAACAAAAGACAAGGTCTCTTTGAAACAGTAAATAAGAAAGCAGAGACTAAAAAAGGATCATGTCTTCCCCTAGCAAACGCAGAGAGATGGACTTGATGAAATTGTTAATCCTCTAATTCAGTCATCTTTCAGTTATTTATTTTTTTCCCTCTTTTTTCTTTGTTTGGGTTTTGATCGTAAATATTTTTCCTTTTCTTTTTTGGGTTTTTGGTTTTGTTGGGTTTTGAATAGGATGATGAGTGATTACAAGGTAGAGTTGATCAATGATGGCATGCAAGAGTTCTATGTTCATTTCAATGGACCTAATGAAAGTAAATCTTCGCTACCCTTTTCTTTCCTCTCTCTCTCTCTCTCTCTCTCTCTCTTTTACATTTTTATTTTCATTTCTATTATCTCTTTTATAGGATAACTGAAGTGATTGCTTTTGTGGGTGTCTGTTATTTTTATCATGCGGTTTGTAGATTCTAAACACTTAGATGCCTTTTGGTTATAGAAATTAGTTCATTTTTAGGAGGTTCTTGTTTTTTCTATTGCCTAATCTGCATTTTCTCGGAAATTTTTGGCCCAATTTAGAACAAGTCTAATCCTCAAAGTGATATTCTTGTTAGAACTGGCTTTTTTTTTTTTTTTTTTTGGTTTACTTCTTGTCCAAATTTACCGTACCCGACTGCATATGGATATTTTCGGTTTCAGCAAAAAATAGCCATCTTTTACCCTTTTCTGTTATGTGATGAATTATTGCAGGTCCTTATCATGGAGGTGTGTGGAGGATAAGAGTTGAGCTACCAGATGCTTATCCTTATAAATCTCCCTCTATAGGCTTTGTTAATAAGATCTATCATCCAAATGTTGACGAAATGTGAGTAAATTAAATATGGAAAGTGAAACAAGAACTATAGTTACAACTTTCTATACTTGCTAAATCACTACATTTATCCACTTAAAAGGATTCTGATTTTTCAGGTCTGGCTCGGTTTGTTTAGACGTCATTAATCAGACTTGGAGCCCCATGTTTGGTAAATATTTTCATGAGGCCTTTTCAGATAAAAAATTGAAGCTACTGTCAAGCTATAATGTTTTGGATATATGTCTCACAAGTTGATACACATGTTCTCCAGATTTGGTAAATGTGTTTGAAGTATTTCTACCACAGCTTCTTTTATATCCTAACCCATCAGACCCATTGAATGGTGAGGCTGCAGCTCTGATGATGCGTGACAAGCCGGCTTATGAGCAAAGAGTTAAAGGTAGTGATTCCTTATCCTTTTCTTTTCAAATTTTTCTGATTAGGCACTCTACATTATCTAGCTCTGGACTAAAGATTTATATTGTTTTTATCCAACATATGCCTTCTGTTTTTGCCTTACCTTTACATGTTTTCTTAATTCAAACTTAGGTTATGATTATTTAGACTGGCAGTTGAACGTGATTAGTTTGTAGTGGCACATAACAGAATCCGTTACACTGCTGCGCCATAATTGTTTTTAGTTGAGAAGTGACTTGCACATTCTTAAGATTCCAATATTCAGTATCCAAATGTGGTATGTTATCTTTTCCTGTAATGAAACGTAAGGAAAGACCTTGATTTGCTTGTTCTGTATCAAGCTTCATTGAGGACTCTACCCACTCAGTCAAAACCTTTTGGAGTGCAGTGGTTGGTTATGTCATAAGCATCTTAAATTATATGATCTCAAAAGACTTGACTAATAACCGTTTAGCGGAATTTTTATTCGTTCTGTCAAGTTTCAGAGAATTTGAGCTTTCGACCATTTCTGAAAGCTCAATCACCATGCAAGTTGTAATCTTGAATATATCTTTCATGCTCTAAGAATTGCAGCTGAGCATTTGATGGTGACTGATTCTTTGAGATGACTGCAATTGATTTCTTTGTCGAGTCATAATTTGAAAACTGAACTAGCAAGAGATGGACGTACTTCCTAAGACTGATGGAGTTTTGTATCTGTGTATAATAAAAAGCCTCGTTTGTTTGTTTGGCTTGAAAGGATAGACTTTTAGCTGAGAGGAGCACTCTCTTTCTCTCTGTTTGGGTAGGAATCATGAAGGTGCTAAGATATAAAGTAGATCGATCAACTTAATATAAGTAGAACGAAGCTCGATGTTGTTGTTGATTATATAGGTTTACTACGAGTGTTGAACCCAGAGCCCTGCTGCATCTTGTTTTTCTGGTGCTTCGTATTGTTTAGAAGCTAAGTTGTGGACAAAATGAACATGTACTTGATCATTCTCCAGGAGATGCATTCAGTTGTCATCACATTGCGTACCTGTGGTTTATCTAACCGGAAGTTATTAGACATTGATATTTGATTGCTTCATCCAGACGTAGTTGTTGAACTATCCACTCTTTATGTCCTTTGCTTTGCACTTCAACTTAATTTGTGCCAATTTAACATCACCTCTACTCTTATCGGCTCATCAACCAGAATACCGTGAGAAATATGCCAAACCAGAGGACATTGGAGCTGCCCCAGACGAAAAATCAAGTGATGAGGAGTTGAGTGAAGATGAGTATGAGTCTCTTGATGACGAAATGGCTGGCCAAGCAGATCCATAGTGGGCTGTTGCATGTCCTCCCAAGCTTGTTGTATCTGTACATGTTTCTAGCTTCTGTTAAATCAATCCTAACAATTAACAAATGAACTTGTTTATTGGGCAGGAAAAAAGAATTCCATAGCATCTTTATTTATTTCCTTTGTAAAGAAATGTATGTTCGTCTTGTGTTCAATCTTATTCTAGTTTTTCTTGTGTGATCCCTTCTCTTGTGATTAAGTTTAAGTTTATTGAACCAAGGGGACGGTTAAAAATCTATTACAACAGCCTCTCTAATGCTCTCTAATTCCCTCTGGATTTTTTTCTGGGTTTTATTTGGTAGGTAGTAAACATGTTTCCTGAAGGAGGCCTAACCCTATTTCATGGGAAATATATCAGTTGAAATGCATTTAACTGAATAGCCTGCAAATCATTAATTTAGAGACACACACACGCAAATTAGCACATGAAATGTTGATAGGTGGGGAAAGGGGGAAAAATAAGCTCATAAAATGTTGATAGCTGGGAAGGAGGAGAATGGGTGGTAAAAACGGCATTTTCAGTCTTTACCGACCAGAATAGGTATATTTTTTGGCAATTAAGTACGATTCCATGTCTCACATCATCTTGGATCAACCAGCAATGGACGGCGGGGAATCTTTTTCGTCCTGGAGAATAGGGATTATTGGACTACTCAGCCGTCTGATGAACCAAAAGAATACCAATTTACAGATTTTCTCCATCATCCGTACCACTACCACAGGAGTTGAAATACAATACCACCACCTATGGTCATCAACATCATCATGGGAGCTATTGAAAGACAACTCCACAGGCAAATTCGTTAATTTATTTGTTATCCTTCAATTTCCAAAATCTTCACCAAAAACAGTCTTCGCAATTTTGACCATTTCGTTCTTATTCCAAAGTCCAAACTGTATCTACTATTTCAAACAGAGTTTGGACCTCAAACACCTATTACCATCCTACAAAGCATTCCAGACAAGCAAGTAGCCAACAAAAGGGTTTCTATTTTAGCCGATTATTTTGGCAAGGGACTGCAAGTTACATTTCTTGTGTGCGTGGATGCATTACACACGGGAATAGGAGATCAAAACGTCGACGGCAAATTGAAGATGAACTTAAATATGAGATATGCATAGCAATCTATAAGGCACATATGAGAAAACTATTGGATTTCTAAAATCATGCAAGGACCAGTACACAATGGACGAGCAATGACCTACAACTATATTAACAGCACTGGTACAGGCCGCAAAGGGCCACTTGTACACTCTGAGGCTGAACTCAACAACAATTCTTTCCATTAAATTATACACTATCCTTGAGAAAAATCATAAATGGCTTGGCCTCCTTTTACCAGCATCTGTCCTCAACCTCTTAACAGGATTTGCCCAACCAACACTCCCTGCACCGCCGTTTGTTGGTTGAGGTTGGTTCACCCACCCTTGCTGATGGGTATTCTGCTGGTTCAGTCTCGCATCTTTAGGGATTGAACTCAAAACAGGACTTGTGATATTACGGCCCATGCTAGGGGGAGACTGGACCACTTGATCCAGTCCTTGACCTCACTACAGACTTGTCCCGGTCTTTCCTCTTCTTCTTGCAGATAACCAACTCCCCTGGGTGTAGTGGAGAATCATCCAGCTGATATTGTTCCCGACTACTGCCACTTCCACTCCCAACCCTTGTTTCCTTCTGGGGCACATGGACCCTCCTTGCGTCTTCACTAGTAGGAATGGATCCTCGCTGAATTGGCTTATGAGTTGTGCTATTGTCAGGTTCTACATCATTTATTGACTTGTGTCTCTTGCTTAGGCCAAGAGCAGCAGCTTGTTTTGCAGTTGGAGCAGAAATGGAAGTCGATGATGGGCTAGAGAAAGAGAGAGCATTCCTGGCCTCTCGGAAATCTGTGTCTGGAAATGCAATCTTCAAGATATCAAAAAAGAGATCATGCACCTTTCTTGCTTCAGTTCTGACCTGCATGATGTGAACATACCTTGAGATTCTAACTCATTTTGAAGCTTGACCAAGTGAATTAGCTTTGGTGATTGGCACCATTGGGAATTAAGGCCGCTAATTGAAGTAACATATAGAAGAATTCACAGTATACTTTTGTTCTGACAACTCATTCTATCCAAAATGTTTTGATAGAAAAATTTAAAATCTTGTAAATGAAAGATATTACGAAACAGATAATAAGGAATCTTCCAAGTAGTAATAACACGGAACTTTTTAAAAAGAGAGATAAAAGAGCCCTCCAGAAATTGGTGCAATACATAGCAGGACAAATTCCACGTCAAATCATTGACAAATGCTATACCATAGAGAAGTTTCAAAGAGACCATATTCATACTTCCACAGGCTATCCAGAGACATCATCAGAAGCATTTCCAGAAGATGATGTTAAAAATAAGAAAAAAATTATGTTGGAGTGGAAGCTTTGGATGAGAAATCATACCTCATGAGAGAACCCATAAAATTGCATTGCACCCTTTAACATGAATTGCACGTCGAGCACAAGCTCCATCACTCCACTATACTCCAATCTATCAACACGCTGTTCAATCTTCCGTAAATCCAAAAGATTAGTTCCAGCACCACTTACATAACCAGAATTTTCAATCCGTTTCCACAAATCAGCTAGAAGAGGTACAATTTGTTGCCCTTCCTTGTCTATTCTCCTTTGGAACTTGCTAATAACATTCTTACACTGCACAATTGAAGCTTCCAGTTAATATACAGAAATATGATAAGAGTCTACACCAAAAGGTATAAAACATCATGTGCCAAGTCAATCATGATTTTCCACTGTGAAATCCTTTTTTAGAGGCATATGACTAATCAAATTACAGTATATTAACAAGAGAAAATAAATTAAAATAATAAATGAACAAGTACATACCCTTCTCTGGATGACATCAGACATCTTGGTGCCCAACATTGAAGCACCACTTGTGCTTGGAACTTTACCATCCCAACTCTCTCTGGATTGTTCAGCAGCATCATCTGCCGGAGCAGACTGCAAATTCAGTCTGCTAGATTTTGGTGAAGCACGCAACTTAGATGTTTTGGCTATTCTTCTTGAAGGTAAACTTCGTCTACTTCTTGAGGAATCACTCTGATCATGCTTGAATCCACTAGGCTCTACTGCTGCTTTCATTTCAGTATCATTCCTCAACTGTGCTTGATATTTATGATCCACTTGGAATGGCAACAGACAAATATCACCACGCTGCACATCATTGCTAGACTTCTCCTCTGGCCTTTCAACAGGCTGGCGGGGTCGAAGCCGAATACTACGTTTTCGTTTTATCTTAGGTTGCAGAACCTGTTCGTCTTCACCTTCATCACGATCATGTATCCAACTTCCAGATTGCTGGTGATCCATGTGAGAATCTCCAGACACCGCAATTTCCCCTCTTCTAATTCATCTGGCTGTGTAATATTAACAGGAACAGTAAATAGATAGCAATAATAACCAAGTAAGTTACGAAGCACAAGTATAGAGATAGAAGAAACTTAGTATAAAGAAAGAAGAAACATACCGGCTTTTTGGAAAGTGATCCTGGTCTTGCATCTAATGCAGAAAGAGACCCAAATTTCCTTGGAGAAACAGGAGAGATCATTCGTGTCACTTTTCGGCTGTCAGAGGATGATCCTGAGGAACCAGCTTCATCCAATACCTGATTATTTCTAGTGCTTTCCGCAGCTCGGTGATACTCATAGCCACCATCACATGCAGGAGCATCATCTTCTGATTGGTCCTTATTAATGGGTGGTGCCCCAACAACATCACTGGATTCATCATCTTCAAATTCTCGAATTTCTCCCTCTTCTTCATGTGCAGAATAACCATTTCTCTCATCGGAACTTGCCTCAGAATAGTCTCCATTTTCATCATCAATTTCCTTGTAATTAGGAGACTTTTTCCCCTTTGGCCGCCCCCTTTTTTTTTCAGTTTCCATTTCCCCAGATTCCATACCCATACCATCAGCAAAAAGGATCGCTTTTGATGGTTTCTTTGATAGAATAGCAATAGTAGCTTCCACTTCTTTTGTACTGGCTCGAAGCCACTTAGGTACCTGATCATACCTAGTCATCTCCTCAGTCCAATTGAACTCTTCATCCATTTGATCAAATAATTCAACCTCATCTTCACTCCTAGCTATCATGCGATTTACCTCTTGAAGTGATGGAACATCATGCAGAGTTTCTTGATACCGCTCTTCATCATGCAATAATGTCTCTAAAGTCATTCGCCTCTCCTCGTGTGTTGTTCTTTGGTCAAAACGCCCAGCATTGATAACCTCATCAGCCATGTCAATCTTATATTGCTGGATGTTATTCCTTATAAGGCTCTCAATAGAACCCATATATCGATCCTTACCAACAAGGTCATCTTCTAGATCAACTGTACCTCCACTTCTTAATTCATCCTCTTTTTGACAGCTAGAAATTTTGTCAACAACTGCTTCCATATAAATTACTTTCACTTCTCTTGTCTGTCCAATCCGGTGGGCTCTAGCAACTGCCTGTTCCTCATTCTTAGGGTTTGGATCAGGATCATATATGATAACTGTGTCAGCAGACTGAAGATTAAGACCCCTACCAGCCGCACGAATACTAAGCAAGAAAATAAAGCAGTCTGAACCAGGGCTATTAAAGTCAACAATAGCTGATTCACGATCTTCGAGGCTAGTTGTTCCATCAATCCTTCTGTATAGCAGATGGCGCCATTGCAAGTATTCCTCCAATATATCAAGGAGTTTTGTCATGGTACTAAAGAGTAGTACCCGATGGCCAGTTCTTTGAAGTTTTATGAGAATCCTATCCAGAATCCATAGTTTCCCACAAGATTGAACGAGGAAATCCTTGGATAAGTCGTTAAAATATGGGTAATTAAGCAAAGGATGATTGCAAGTTTTTCGGAGCTCCATGCATCTGTTATTTAAAGTTTTATACACCTTAGCCTGGTATGCTGGATTTTTTTGAACCCTGCGCATCTCATCATCAGGGTCAACTCGAATAGTGCCGGTAGATTTAATCCAATCATAAACTGTACTCTGGATAGCAGACATTCTACACCTCAAGACAATGGAAACCTGCACGGCAGCACTATGTTAGAATCCACTGCATGAAAACACAGCAGTATATTAGAATCTACAACATGATAGATGATGACAAATTAATGCCATACCTTGGGAGGAAGTGAACCTTCCACGTCTTCAACACGTCGTCTGAGCATAAAAGGCTCTAAAATTTGATGAAGTCGATGTATTATGATAACCTTCTTTTCAGTCTCAAGCCAGTCATCCTCTCCGTCATGCATAGAAACTTCCCTTTGGAAGGGTTTTGAGAACCAATCATGAAACGCTTTACGATTATCAAAAACTTCTGGTAGAAGTAGATTCAATAGCGACCAAAGCTCCTTCAAGTCATTCTGCAGAACCAAAAATCAAACCGTGTAAAGCCATTGATAAAATTCCTCGTCAAGGGAATTAAAATTTAATTTTTGAGCAATTATTTTTCTTAATATCACAGACTTGCTTCATATATGTCAAATTAAGACTATCTAATTTTCATTTGTAAACTTGAACGTTATCTCGAAAACTTTAGCAAGTCTTATCCAATAAGTAAGAAGACAACAAACCAAGAATCATAATATGTGCAAACAGAAACATATCAGCAGATGTAACAGGTCTACTGATAAGGAAATTTTTCCTCACTTTCCTATAGGATCATGAAGTGGAAAGAAGAGGACATGAATACACTAGTATACCACAAACATCCTATTCAAATAGAGCCATTTTGCAAATCTTGATGATACTCCATTTTTAAAACTTAGTATCAGGAATGGTAGGGATGTTTGGATGCTACAAGCCTGTAATGGTAGGGAAAACCTCTTCTTTTTTTTAGTTTAAACAGTATGCCATTTAGAAAGGCCATGCTTGTGTGTAGTATGTCAATTATAAACATGACCTACGCATCTGAAAAGAGCAAAGTTCAATCCAATAAGACTCACGTTGTTCTTTGATTAACATGAGGTTCAGTAGAACAATAGAACAACAGCCTTTTTGTGCACAATTGTCAATACACGGCAGCACACCCATGAATAACAAGAAAGATATCAAGGCCGAATTTGGGGTAAAAGACAAGGGAAAAAGTGGAGATGGTAGAAAATTATACTCTCGTTGTGTTTGGAAGGAAATGTGAAAAAATAAAAAATAAATAAATAACCAAGGAACAAAAGAACTAAGGTTAAATATGTAATAGTCCAGTAAAACAAACCTATAAAATCAAACTTGAAAAGGTATATCTATGTAAATTAATCCAGTAAAAACTGAAAGGATTGCCTTTCTTATTTTCTCTCCCAAGGAGAAATTTTGTCCCCATCATCTATCGCTCACTTTTTGACCTCTCTTCTAAACAGCAGTAATATCGCCCATTCTTTCTCTGATTTTCTTCCTGCTTTCACTCTTTCCTCCCATTTCTCCTCTCCCAAACATGATCTAAATTACAATCAGACCATGGAAGCACAAACCAGCCACGACTACAAGACTTTATTGCGAGCTAAGGTTTCCCCAGACACACAGATAAGCATTTTAATAACAATAGTGTGTAACTATAAAATAGACAGCTTTAACAAACCTGTAATGGTGTCCCTGTGAGAAGTAAGCGCCTCTGGCAGCGATATCTATCAAGATCACGGGCTAAAACAGATTCCCTGTCCTTCATTCTCTGTGCCTCATCAATTATGATATACTTCCAATCAACTTTAGAAAGTTTCGAGCGATCATACATGATAAACTCATACGTTGTCACGAGAACATTAAATTTCATTGCAGAAACCTCCTGCAGAGTGCCAGTAAAAGAAAGCTCAGTGATTCACATGAATCTGAAGAATGAAACAAATAAGCCAGTAAAAGTCTATTACTTGGGAAAATAATTTTGACCGCTGATCCTTTCCACCGACATAATAAATGCAGGACACAGATGGCAGCCAGTTGTGTAGCTCGCTCTGCCGCATGAACTCAGTAAGACATCAAAAAACACTAAAAAAATCCTATGAATAAATATGCAACCAGAAGTAACTAACCTTCCAATTCACCAAAACAGCATTAGGAACAATTATAAGATGTGGTCCATAGTTTCCTTTAAATTCCATTAGATAAGCAATCAATGCCATCACCTGCACAGGAACAAAATTATTTAAGAATAACACATGCACATAACAAAAAAAAAAAAAGAAAAGAAAAACATAATTATTATGTCATCTATAAATTATTCAAGCTGACTACCACACCACCAAAAATAGCCAAAGAAAAAGTGCCAATGCTTTCACTTTTCACGAGCAAAAGACCAATAAGTTCTTTATGCATCTTTTCATTCCACAAAATTTCAATTTTCATATACTTCATAAATTACCTTTAAGATTCTGAATCATCAATTTATCCTTCATTATTTTACAACTACCAGCTCAATTATAACAATTGTTCTCACCTACACATGCAAGTTTGCTAAAGGAGAAACAATATGATAGACCTCATCGGTCTGTTGCTTGTGAGAAGTGAATTCATTAATAATTCTTCCAAGAACAGAGGACCCATATATGAGGCATGGAGTCCGAAGGCAGTAAACCTCTGAGGTTCTCTAAACAAATAAATGGGACTTGTTTTCAAAATTTTCACTTTTACGAAGTGGATATGGTTTAGAGGCTTAAGCTTCCATAAAAAGGAGAGGCTTGAGCCATCAGAAACTTACCTGTACGGTCTTTCCAAGCCCCATCTCATCTGCCAAGATTCCATTCAATTTGTTATTATACAAAGAAAGCATCCACTGCAACCCAACCTGAGGGGGACAAACAAACACAGAGACATCAGTAGCTTAAGAAACTTCCAACATAATATGGCTTAAAAAACAGCAAAAAGAGAATGCAATAAATAAAATATACACTAAACATAAGTGACCTACAAGCTGATAGTCTCGTAAGGTTCCAGCTCGTAACATAGATGGTTGCCTTACGACCCTTTCATTCACAGCGTGGGCAAGATTGTAATATCTGCTGACAACAACAGGGAATGACAGAACTTTAAACTATTACAATCAAACATCAGTTTTGTACAGGAAGAAAATATTGAGGTAAATTGTATGTGTCTGAAGAACATTTGTAGCATGTGTTATACATTTTGGATATATTGTATAGCACAAAAGCCTCCATCTGTTGGAACCAATTCCCCATCAGTACTTAATAAATCGAATAACCAGTTCACTACCCTCCTCAATGTAGGACATATGACAAATTTAATCAAACAAATAACTTACTTGTTAACAGATGAACTGTCCCTGGGTGCATTCATTTCCATAAACTGGTTTCTTATCATTACTTCCTCACCTGCACAAGCTGCAGCTACTCGCACTTCTTCTTCTGATAGGCCCTTTAATCAACAATGAAACTAAATGAATTGGCATTTCAAAACCATATATCACATAAAGAATATGAAAAGAAAATTCATGCAACAGAATTTATGAAAGAAAAGGGGGGCATTTTTGGTTGATAGCTAAGAGGCAGGTATCTTAATCGTGCAAGAAAAAAAAATGAACGTCTAATTGGTGGGTTGCTGAGGCTGGGAGGGGGGATAGAGAGATAAATCATGCCTGCAGTCGCGCAGCTGCTGCTGCAGCATTCGCTGCCTCCTCCACTTCCTGCTGATTCTTAGCAGCTGTTATTTTGCCTCCCAGCTTATGAAGATATTCTTCTGTCTGGGTCAAGAATGATGAAAGAACAACATATCTCTCAGAAGCATCACCTGCAATGCTAGTCTGTTGCTCCAACAACATTTCTCTATACCTTTCAACATCATTGTTCTTCAATGCCTCCATCCTTTTATTTCTGTCATCATCCTTTCTCTTTGAAAATTCCCTCAACATCCTCTCATGGTATTTGGCAACTCCTCTGTTACGGGCAGTACGTGCATCACGGATGGCCCAATGAGACTCAAGAAGTTTCTTGCGCCACTGCATGATGGATTTCAATTGCTTCTCTCTAATGGCTTTTTGAGAGGCCTGTACCTGCCTCGTCAGGTCCATCCGTTGACGCTCACATAGCCGAACAAACTTCCTATATAGTCTTTCAGGCATTGCCATGATTTCCTGTTGCTGTTGATCAACTTCATCCCTTAAACGTGTCTGTAGATCTAAAAGCCTAAGTTTTTTCTCTTCAATCTGTAACCGCAACACAAGATCTGGCCTAATCCTTTTCCTCTCTAAATTTACTGCAAGTAGACCATTGATTTTCTTCAAATTCTCTGACCTTTTCTTGTTAAGCATTTCCATGCCTTCCTCAAAAAGAAGATCTTTGACGTCATAGGCCAATGTAAGGTTATTATTCGTGTTAATCGTCCCAGTTGAGCCAACAGAGTCATGTTTCCTAGTGAAAAAGGGAAAATCAAATAATGGTCCATGATACTTTCTAGCAGAGCCAGCATCTTTCGGTTGGGACACAGTGCTTGCTTGTGCAGGTTTCTTAGCTTGCATAGCATCAGATGCAGGAAACTGTGATGCAACGCCCTTTCCCCTATCTGCTGCAAAATCACTTCTGACCGGAGTTTTCTGAAGTCCTTGCTCACTCTCCTGGTCTGACTTGACAGGACAAGTGGCAGTTTGCTGCTCTTCTTTACCAGAAGCCACCAAGGGTGTGGGTTCCTTCATCACAGCCGGCGCCTTTTGCATATGAATGGTTGAGAGAGTTGCTTTCTCATCGCCAGAAAAACTTCCTCTTTAGAAACATTCTGTCCACTCATAGATGGCATTGCTTGCAAATCCTTATCATTGGACTCCAGATGCCTTGCCTGGTCTTCACCAATCTTTGCACCCGACCTGTCCTGATGACTTCCTCCTGCAGGGGGTAGTTGTTGCTGCAGCTGCAACTCAAGGGGTGGTGGAGCAATAGCTCGAAGAAGCTCTTGTGGAAGAGTACCTTCTCCTTTCTGTCGGGCAATGAAAAAGAAAACCAGTATGATCCACTAAGTGCTTATTGAGTCAATTGAAGTTTTCATACAAACTTCAAAAAAAATATGCAAAATGGCAGGTAGAAAGAGATTTTCAGACCTTCAGTCGTCTAAATGCTAGAATTTGTGCTTTCAGAACATGCAACTGCTGTTTAGTGAACCCAGTGCGCTGTTGTGTCATCTGGACAGCTGGCCCACCTTGTGAAGAGAAGTGGTTGCCCAAGCCTCCTTCATTAGAAGGACCAGCAGATTGTGGAGAAGATCGATTAATTTGCCTGAATTGCTGTGTCTGTGAAATTTCTGGGCTGTTTAATGCATTTTTTGAAGGCAAAGTCTGGTCTGCACCTTGGCCTGTGTTTGCAGGCATTCCATTGCCAAGCACAGCTGCCTGTCGAAGAGGTGCTTGGTTCTCTCTGTTGTGAAAAGCCTGCTGCTGTATTGCAAGGTTGTTAGGGTTATTCAACATGCCTCCACTAGAAGTTGGGCCAAAGGGACCAGATGGAACAGTTTGCCTAACTTTCGCAGAGCCAGACTGCCCAGAGACATCACTTGAAGAATTTGCACGAGGAGAACTCTCACTTGCAATCGATGGAGAAGCAACCTGCGGCTTTGACACAGGGAGATGTGATGACTGTGCACCAATGTTACTTTCATTTGCCTTTAGCTGTGCAGCCATCCTTGCCTGCATGAATGGAATAAGCTGTGCCATCAAGTTGGCATTTGCAGGTTGTGACAGATCAATGTTGCGCTCAAGTGCCCACGCTTGCATTGCTTGCAACTGTGCAGTCATGGCGAGCTGGTTGTTCGCCATGTTTTGGATGTTTTGCTGAGCCTGTGGTGCCTGCATAGGTCTCGTAACATTTGCAGGCATTAGTTGTCCAATGGCAGTAGGCTGAATTGGAGACTTTTGATCATTCCTCTGGTCAGAGGCTAGCTGCTGACCTTGTTCCACCTGCTTTTCACCACGAGAAAAATGCTCAGATGAGTTCTTTGAAGATGATGCCTGAGCCTGATTGGCCGCCTGCATGGACATGAGTTCCTGCATTTTCAAATTTCCCATCCGCATGTCCTGATCCTTACCAGCAGAAGGGCCCATCATTCCTATTTTAGCTTGTTGTTGAGACTGCATTGGCAAAGCTGACTTTTGTTGGGCGGCCTGGTAAGCAAATTGAAGATATGCCTGTTGAATTGGGTTCAAAGCCTGTTGCTCAACACCTTGATTCCTATTCTGTCCATCCTGGGAGGAACCATGCTGTCGAGCCAAATCAAAGAATTGCCTGGACTGTTGAGGCATTTGCATTGAGCCTGGGGATGAAGCAAAATTGTTCCCTCCCATAACTCCTTGAGGAGCTCCAGCTTGATAAGCTAGAAGGGCTTCATTTCCTTCAGGTTTTCTAAGTAATTGTTGCTGTAATGCCTGCATGCACGGTTTGAAATATAATACAAATGCTAAAAAATTTCACCTGAAAATGAAGATGCAAACTCCCCTTGCTCATAAGAATATCTTAGAACTAAGCACAATTCACAAAGTATACAAAATCGGTTTCAGAAACAAGCACAAATGTGGTCAACTGAGCACTGGAATTGCCACTGTCCCTTCACATTGCCAAGAATATAAGGAGAGAGTAAGGTAATTGCATGCATAATGCATCTACGGATTCATTTTTATGTAAATTGCACCATATATTTTCAGTAACAGAAAAAGAAAAAAAAAGATTTATTCCTCCATCCAAGATTGCAACTCAAAAAAGAAAAGCAACTAAACACAACAGAAAGCTAGAACCATAAAATTAGACGGATTCCACCATTAACACCAATGACAATACTTATGAAGAATCACTTCCCAATCACAATAAAAAAAGACACTTCTTTATTTTATTTTAAAAAAAAATGGAGAAATAAATAAAATCATGATATCCACATAAACTTACAAGGAAAACAACAAACATGATCAGCTATAAATGAAGCATCACCCAGATAAAGAATGCCAAATGCTGAAACAAAATTCCCAATAGCCGGACCCCGCGCTTAGTCGTCATTGATCTTCAGTCTCGAAACAAACCCCCAAGCAAACTTAGATGCTTAATTACACCTCAATTAGTTTAACTGCCCTAATCTTCTCCTAAAATTAAATGCATGCCTAGTTTGCCTGCCTCCAAAATCGTGATTAATCAGAATTTCAAACTAATCAACCACATTAATTACAACTAGAATTCACTAACCACACATCAATTAATCAAATTTGATAAATCGAAAAAGAAAAACCCTTACCTGCCTAGACTGCTGTTGTTGCTGTTGCTGTTGCTGCTGATGTACTGAATCAAACCCCAACTGAAGGTTCCATACAGCAGCAGACGATGACGAAGAAGAAGGCGATGCTGCAGCTGATGATGTGGACCCCGCACGCCCAGCCGGCCCTACCCGACTGGGCCCACCTCCAGCACCACCAGATTGCATACAAATTTACTCGTTAAACCCCAAATTTATCACTAATTATAAACAAACAAAAAAAACAAAAACAAAAGCTAAAATGTTGTTATAAGAAAATCCCTCCAAAAATTTGAATAAAGCTTCAATTTTTACCCTCCGATCCCAACGTTACAAAAAAACAAAAAAAAAAAGCTTGCTCGCTGGCTGGCTTTTAGTTTATCTGTCCACTTTCTCTCTCTAGGTTTTCGAATTTCCTCTCACTACAAAAAAGGCGAGAATATCGGTGAAATGAAGAAGAATGGATCCTGCAATAAAGAGAGAGGAGACAGAGGAGGTGAATAGGTGATTGTTTTTCACTCTCACTGAAACTTCTTTTCTCTCGCGATTGGATTTCGAGAGAAAAAAATTATAAAAAAATAAAAAAAAGTTCTAATTTTTTCTCGGTTGTTGAGAGTCAAACAAACCCTAAGATTTGTTGGTTTTATTTGGGTTTTATGTATTTTTCTTTTTAGAGGGTATTTTTTTTTTTTAGAAGGGAAGGAGTGAATTGGGGTTGGTAATGAGTAAGGTTTTTCTGCTTTTTATTTTATTTATTTCTGCTGTTGGGGTGGGGTCCACGTGACTACTGCGGTTACAAGTTTACGAAAAAGTAGGGCAGGAGTTTTAACCTTGAGTTTGGTGATAATTGCTTTTTTAGCCCTATGGTTCATGGAATGTGAGATCCCGAAATATCTGGTTCCCGGCCTTCGGTGTGAGCGTGTGACTACCAAAAGTGGAGAGAAAATTCTCGGGTTATTTTATTTTATTTTTTTCTTTAAGTTTGTGAGTTTTTTTGTTTTCGCTCTTAAATTAAATTTTAGCTTCTCATGCAATAGTCTCAGCAGAGAATATTTTGAGTATATTAAAGTATGATATGGAGAGTTTAAAGATCAATGACATAGTAAAATATAATAAAATATCATATTGATTTTAAAAATATATTAATTAAAATTTAATAACTCTTAAATCTTTGATGGTTGACAATAGGAATTTCATATTCAAAGAGTTAATTCGAATATATAAAAAAAAAAAATTCATTCAACTTGATATTTGTAATTCAAATCGATATCTCCATATTCGATTATCCTCATTCGTTAAAATAATTTAAATTTTGACATGGATAGAGTTACGATGAAATTCTCTCGATATATATATTAATATAAAAAGTTCAATGTACTGTATTAAATATGTAGTTAACATATCTGTACATCTACTTTTTTACCAAAAAGGAAAAGTAAATTCTAAATTTTTATTAAAAGATGAATTAAATAAAAGATTATCTTATTGAACATTGTTATATTTCTTTAAAAACAAAATTTTGAACAATTATTTCTGTGTCGGTTTATGAATTTAATTTGTCGTATATGTAAATGAATTACATCATTATTAATAGATAAAAATTTATTTAAAATAAATATTGGAGGTCTAGTGGTAGGTAGGTTTATTCTTCACACTCTTATATTTTATCGAGGTTAGAAGAATTTTATTTATGTGTAGGTTTGTTCTTCACACTCTTATATTTTATAGAGGTTCTAGGAATTTCTTTTTCATAAATATATCAATCCAAATGTACATGATATTTCTAAACTCTCACCGGAAAGAAACTTCGTCTTCGTGCCAAAAAATCTAGCCCAAGAGCATATTGACAATTAAATCAAACAGAAAAGCTCAAATTGCTATCACTTTTTTTATTGTAGGGAAATACCATATGTTTTTGCATATGTTTCAAAAACATATGGAGAAAAAGATCTATCGAATCATAGAGTAAACTGTTTTTATTTTAAACTAGTTTCTTGACACGTGCTGCACACGTATATCATTTAACTAATTTATAGTCATTTTTCTAATTTTTAATAAATTGTTTTAAATTACTTATAAATTAATAAATTCAAAATTTTATTAAATAAATATTTTTCTATTTTCAAATAATATTATATAAATTTTGATGACTATAATTAAATTTTTTTTTTTAAGTTTTTGAATGGTGTAAAGTAATTTTCAAATGGGCATAAATAAAAATCTAGGACAAAAATTGAATTATCTTTTAAAAGTTAATAATTAGTAGTTAAGATAAATCTAGATATGACTTTTAAAAATAATAATTATTAAAAACTTTTTAGCCAAAATCATATCATTATTTTTAATTTAAGCAATTTTTTTTAATATACGTGATGTGAATATAAATTAGCAATGCAAGCATGAATAAAAAATTTATAAATTATTTTTTTCAATATCAATCGTGTTTGTCCAAAAATAACGAAATAAAAAAACAACCTACAAAAAATTAACAAAATATTCAATTTAATAACTTGGTGAATTTTAATGTGACTTAATTATCTTCGGATTTCTAATATTTTATGCTTTTTATTGGCTTGTTTTCAAAACCTTTTTTAGAATTTAATAGTCAACATAATATATATATATATATATATATAACTCTTAAAATAATGATTACTTAAATATTTTGAATGGAAGTTGTGTTGTTAACAAAAATTATTTTAAATATTTGTTTTCACTTATATATGTTGACGTGAATATAAATTAATAATACATGTAAAAGATTTATACATATTTCTTTTAATAAATCTTGCCTTTTTGATATTATCGGTGGTTGTGCAAGAGAGTAAAAAATAACAAAAGTCAATAACTAAAAATAGCATGTAAAAACTAACCAAGGATTCAATTTAATAATTTGATGAATTTTGATATAATTTAATTATTTTTGTATTTAAATATTTTATTTTTTTATTAGTTTGTTTTAAATTTCTTTTTAGAGTTTTAATAATCATACCGATATAGTACTATATAGTTTAGGAGTTATTTAAATAGAATACTTTATGTTATTTAGGATTTTACGTGGGGTATAAACTAGAAAAAAACAAGACTAACATGTATTTTAGAATTCTCTTTAAAAAAAGCCCATATTTTAGAAATCAATATTTTTCTTTCAAGAATCTTAACAATGTCAATCTTTTTACGTAGATAGAAGATAGTTGAATTTACTTATTGGTATTAGGAGTATATTACAATGCTAATTATTTTATCGAGGGTATAATAGTCAATTAATTTTTTTAAGGAATTGGTGTTTTTTATGTATAATTGTGGATTTACACACTTTTAAGTTGATGGATCTTATTGGCGGGCTTCATCTGGATTTGTTTTACATTGGCATTATACTAGATTGTAACTCGCGCTTTGCTGTAGACCGGATACAATTAAATACGTAAAGACACTTGATGTTTACGGATTAAGTTGCTTACAAATAACAATTTAAACAATTTATAGATCGATTAAGACTTTTGTTGTTATGGTTGTCCACTATTTGCTAGTTTAGTTTGTTTAAGATTTTACATCATTATTTACGAGGTTCATATATATAAACTGAACTTGCTACTTTGGTATGTGTACATTGAATTTGTTAATTGGGTTTTTTTCTCATTTCTAAATAATCTTGAAATCGATCCTTTATATAGTCTTTCGCTACTAACAAAAGGTTATAATGAATTCAATTCGTTCATTAACCAGTTTCTTAAGTTCAAATTCTAGTGATGAAAATAATTTTGCACTCAATAGCATGAATTTTTATAATTACATTATATATTCTATTGATAAATCATGCATCATACCAACAAAAAAATTTGTACAATTACATTGTAAAAAAAAACAAACAATTACAATGATTAAATATAGTGATTTGTATAAAATAGCAAACAATTGAAGGGAATACAAAGACAAATGACAATAGCCATAACTTCACTTTCATCAAATAACATTCAACTAAAAATACAAAAATAGAAAAAGAACAAATAACAATCAATTAACACCAACCATGTCAATGTTTTTTTCAAAGAAAAATGCAAACAAACTCTCTCTTACATCCATCCACATGAACAATTTTCATCACTTGAACTACAAAAAGCTACACGAGCAAATCGTGCGTCATTTGACAAAAATCAATATAATAATATTCCAAGCTAACTTATGATGAATGAAGGGCTAAGATTTCTAGATTAAAAATAAAGAGTTGAGATGAGAGGGAAATATAAATGCACTTGCCTAAAAAACCAAGCTAACATTATGAATTATAAAAACACATAAGGGGCAAAAAACTATAATGAAAATAAAAATGCATAGTAATATTGACATGTCCACAATGAAAAGTGTTTTGACATACACTTAAATAAATAGTAATAATACAAATGCATTTGCCCAAAAAACCAAACTAACACCATGAATTATAAAAACACACGAGGGACAAAAAAAATAGTTAAAGGAACAAAAAACTTGAGTGTATGTCCATAATGAAAGGTGTCTTGACATACACTTAAATAGGGGTGTTTGTTCGGTAATTCGGTTCGATTTCGAACTTTTTTGATCGATTTTCGATTAATCGAATTGCCTAAAAAAATAACCGAAATCGAACCGAATTATTATTCTGTTTTGAAATATATCGGCTTTTTTATTCGGTAATTCAGTTTTCACTCGTAATTATCTATACTTTTGATTTTTTAAAGGATCATGCACTTTCGAAAAAATAAATTTAGTATTTGCATTGCGATTTTTAGGCTATGTTCCTATATATATACGTTTTTCAATCTCATTGAACTCCGTCTATTTACTATTATTTTACTACTCCTCAATAGGCATTACTAATATAATATCAATTAATATATATATATAATATGAGATGTCATCATTACCATATAAAGTCTAACAATATATAATATATGTTATTGTTTTTCAGTATCAATAGATAATACCGTTAAATATGTGTTACAATTAAGACATTTTAACAATTCCTTCTAAAAAGAAACAGAACATGCTTTGAAGCTCAAATATAATCGACTTATTTGTCTTTATGAAAGACACTTTTAATTAACTTTACATAATTAGAACTAATAATTTTGGGTAACTTGTTAAACACTACAACCATAAGCTAACCTTTGCTAATTAAATGGCAATGTTGTTTTTGAACAATGAAGAACATT